CCTTTGTTGTCATCTTCAATGCCGTTGGCATGATCCTCTCTTCTAGATAAAGCATCCGCTTTCCCCATTGAGCTTCCTGGCTTATGAATTAATTTATAATTGAACCTTGACAAGTACACCGCGTAGCGGGCCTGTCTCCGGTTCAGGTCTCGGGCCGTCATGAAGTACTCCAGGTTCTTATGATCGGTCCAAATTTCGAATTGGTGCCTAGCACCTTCTAAGTAGTGCCGCCAGTGCTCTAAAGCTCTAATGATGGCCAGCATCTCCTTGTCGTATATTTGATAGTTGCGCTCTGTAGGCAACAAACTATGCGATAAATAGGCACAAGGCCTCCAAAGATCATCAGGGCATTTGATTGATAGAACAGCCCCAGTGGCGAAGTCAGAAGAGTCGGTTTCTAGCCGGAACTCTTTGTCTAATTCAGGGAATGCCAATATGGGTGCTGTTGTAAATGCCTGTTTAAGCTTATCAAAAGCTTCCTGTTCTTTGGTGCCCCATTGCCAAACAAGGTCCTTTTTGGTGAGATCGTTCAACGGTCTCGTGATTTTTGCAAAGTTTTCAATAAACCTTCGGTAGAAATTGCCTAAGCCTAGGAAAGCCCTAACCCCTTTGACGCGAGTAGGTTCTGGCCATTCCAAAATAGCTTGAACTTTCTCAGGGTTCATCCTGATTCCGTTCTGGCCTATGATCATGCCGAGGAAGTCTACTTCCTTCACTTTAAAATTACATTTTTCGGGTTTGACGAATAGGTCCCGTTCCTGTAAGCGTCGAAGGACTTCTTGCACGATTTTGTCATGCTCAGCCTCATCGTCCGACTTTGTAAATATTAATAAATTGTCAATGTAAATGACGACACAGTTTTCCATATCCGCAAAGATCTCATTCATCATGCTCTGAAAGGTCGCCGGTGAATTGGTCAACCCAAAGAACATAACAAGGGGTTCGAAAGATCCTCGGTGGCACGTGAACGCGGCCTTCCAAGCATCTTCCTCTTTGATTCGTACATTATTGTACCCCCATCTGAGATCCATTTTAGTCAGAATCTTGGCGCCAGCCAATTTGTCTACTAGCTGACTAATTAAAGGCAACGGATACGCGTTTTTAACTGTGTGCTCATTCACATAACAATAGTCCATAATCATGCGCTTCTTACCATCCTTTTTAGGAATGAAGAACACCGGGGACGTCATAGGACTTTTGGAAGGTCTGATGTAACCCTTCCTAAGTTGTTCGTCTATGAAACTAGATACCTCGTCTCTTTCGGGAGCAGAGAGCGGTATCATGTGTCCCTTCCTTGGTTTGAAGGTGTCTTTCAAATCTATAGCATGGTCCCACGGCTTAGCCTCTGGGAAGCGTTCTGATTTGTGTTTTGAAAAGACTTTCCAGAAGTCGTGGTACTCGGGAGGTACCAGCCTCTTAATCTCTTCCTCAGGTTTTACCTCATCATCGTCATCGTCGATCTTTTCCAAAGATCTGAGCTCGTAAACGTGACTAGCGTTTAACTTTTCGAGACGCTCATTGTGACGGACATGATTTGGTTTACCCAAGTTTACACATTCCTGGGGACAACGTGACAATGTGACAACCCCTGTCTGCCAGTTGATCTCAGGATTGTGTTTAAATAGCCAGGTCCAGCCTAAGATTAAATTAATCTTCCCTAGTTGGGTAGCCTCGGCAGTGACTCGTTCTCTGTGTCCTTGGTATTCGACCACAAAAGAACATTTGTGTGTAATACAGCCACCTGCATTAAGCGTACCGTCAACGTTATAGACGGGAATAGACGTTTCTAATTTTACAAGGGGGAGTCCAATTTGCTCCGCCCAGACCTGATCTATGAAGATCCCGTTAGCGCCTGAATCAAGCAGTGCGCTCGTTGAGTGTACTTTGCCCCTGGCAAGGTTTTCCACGCCAACGTCTAAACGGATCTCCTTTTGGAATAAATACGTGCGCATCAACACACGCCTTGGGATTTCGGGAAAGGGTGGCTCCAAAGAAGAAGAAGAAGAAGGAATTTTGAACGATACATGTTTTCTTAATTTTGTTTTACCAGAATCAAGCACCCTAGTGTTTGTCTCGCCGGGGCCACGCTCCAAGGGAGACGCTGGTGCAGCGGTAGTATCATAAATATTACAGTTACATTTCTTCATACAAGTACATACTTCTGATAACAAATTTAAAAACTTATTTACAAATTGGGGAGCCATCCCCGTCATTCCGTTATTGCTCGTGCAACACCCCGGAGCAGGGGCCACTTTGTTGTGGTTTACTTCATTTTTACCAGGAGCTAAGGTACCCAAGTGACCTAAGCCCCGAATTCTTTTCCCTGAGCCTTCATTTCGTTGACCTGTTGGTCATAGAAGAAGGCCCGGATTTCGTCGTAAGAACGACCGGCCAAAGAGTTGAGCCGATCGTCCGGCTTTTCGGATTCTAACTGGCGCGCCTGGCGCCCTTGATTTTTTTGTTGGGCAGCCTGCGCCCCGTTTCTACAGTCTCGGGACATGTGTCCCTCTTGGCCGCAGTTGTAACAGCTGCCCTTGAATCTGCGCATTTGTCCGCCTTGGACCGCGCCGATATCCATAGGAGCACCCTGTCCTGGCTGCAGCCCGAACGGTTTGAACCCGCGAGAGTGATTATAATTTTGGTTTGATGACCCAGGGCGCCTCTGGGGTGTGGTGGTTTGTTTGGTGGACCCACCACCTTGGTGCATAGCGTAGAGCTCCATGGCCCTACCGACTCGTCGGACTTCCTCGGCTGCCAGAGCCAGGTCGTCACTTCTTGTATCCTGCAGGTAGATCTGCTCTGCAATGCGAGGGTTCACATTGCGTTCCAGCAGTTCTACTGCGTGTTCGTTACCTAACCCTCCTTGGATGGAGAGGGCCAGGAACCGGGTGACATAATCATCCGTCCTCATGTTTCCTTGTTTGAAGGAACGGATTTGCTGACGCGCCCAGTCTCGCTCAGCTTGCGGTTTGAAATATTTTTCGATCTCTTTCTTGAGATCGTCCCAGGTAGGCCACACACCCGCGGTGTAACATTCCTGGAGTCTTACTTGGGCGTATCGACCCGCCACAGGTCCTTTTAGGCGAGATAGCACCGCAGTGGCTACCTCAAAATCGTCGGCGAAAGCGTCCCAGTTCGCCTTGACCCAAATCTGGAGCTTGATCCACCATTCGGCAAATCGCGCTCGGTCTCCTTCGAAGGCACCAGGGTCAGCGACGACTTCGACTTTCTTGTTAAACTTTTTCTCTACCGAGGGGGTTGCTACAGGGGGGTTGGCCTGTATCTCGGCGAGCTGTGAGGTTAATTCCGCTATCTGCACACGCATTGCGTGCAGTAGCGCATTCATATCTTGCGACGACATGTCAACTTGTTCTCTTTGGGTAACGTAAAAATAGGTAACTGGGGGTCCCCGCTTGCTATCTGCGGATCAACCTCTTCCCAGCTGAGTATCGGATCTCAATCTCCGACTACCCACACTATAGTATTTGAAAAAGTATATAAAAATGTAAACGTAATAAACCCTGGTCCGAACGGTTGTCAGGGGGTGGTCCGCTTGTTAAGCTGTCAACCCTTCTCCAGACTGGCGGAGGCAAGTGCCCGGCCTGGTCAGAGGTATTCGAAAGTGAAAGTTTGTATTTTAAATCTAATCAACAGTGGTTCCACACCGACTGCTGAGCTAAGGTACTCCCCTTAACGCTGGGGGCCGCGTATCAAAGGTTTTGGGTTCTTCTCCCAAAGCACTACAAGGCCGTCGCTAGGAGCGCACCTATCTGCTATGTGGGATATTCCTAACCGCTAACCAATCTCCTTCACCCTGGAGTCCGGGTGCCCAAATGATGGGACTTCTGCACACACGTGCGAGAGAGTAGAAAGAGCGAGTCCTAATGTAACAACCAAGAGTTAGTTACTCTGGCGCACACAGGAACACACTATAAAGGTAGTGGAAGATGGGGAGTGGGTACCCCTTGGGCTGCAGTGAGTTAGTTGGTATACAACAGGAGGACTCGCTGAGGAGTCTCCTGGATCTATTGGGGTATATATACTACTACAGGTTTGTTTGTACATGTGTACTATACAGTTGATGAAGGCAGTGGCTGATGATGTCATAGGGCCTAGCCCGTATGGCCAGCTCCACTGCGTGAGAGAGTTTAAGTCTAAAAGTAAAAGAAAGGCAACACGGCGCGAGAAAGGGAAATGCCGCGTGGCACTTAAAGTATAAAGTTAAAGCGGAGAATAAAAAGGAAAGGAGATGTCCAGAAATTGTGTTATCGTAACACTTGGTCCCTAACTCAACGGAAATGGACAGAGGAGAGTAGAGGATAAAAAGGGAGCAGAGTAAAGATCCTTTGGAGGAGGATCAGATAGACTTAGAAAAGGACTTGTAAAAAGGCAAGGGAATCTAGTTGATATTCAAACAGCAGGAATGGAGTACAGAAGCTACAACTTATATACTGTCGGAGGAGTAGGGGCTCGTAAGGAGTAACTTGTAATGTAGATATGGAGCTCTATGCGGACAATTATCTAGCAAGAGAGAAACATATGAGCAAGGAGTGTATCATAAGGTCTGAACTACAGGGTCTATGAGGAGTACGGGAGGGTGCATAGGAAAGCATGTGACGGACTAGAATTCTGGTGCAGGAGTATTGGAACGGGAGTCCGGAGTACCATGTGGGGGTGGAATATGAAGCTATGCCAACTGGCAGGCCTTGAGGAGCGTAATCCTGAGAATACCAAAGATTCAGGAGGTTTGGATTTGAGGAAATATCTCCTCCGGAGATGCCAGAGTCCTGTTCTCCAGTACGGATATTACAGTATCTTAACTTTTTTGTGTTTGGTCCATGCACTATGCATGCTCAAGACCCACTTGTGCAAGAAAGAAATGACTTCACCAATGATCTAGAAGATGCCATGCTCGCATTTGATGAATCAGAGTCTGACATTCAGGTGGTTGAGATTGAGGCCCCCTAACAGTGCCAGCAGAGGCTTGTAGTAAGGGTTTCATGTCCACACCAAGTGACTTGGACTTGGACACCAACCTAGGTGAGTTCAAGTTGTCTATTTATCTTTATACATACTGACATGGTTATTTGTTAGCTGAGAATAGCCATCACTGGCAGGTTGAGGCATCAGTGTCTGCTGCACTCCCCATTCACCCCACTAATCTCCATCAACCTGGAATACAGCCTGAGCCTGAGCCACTAGCTGTATCAAAGAAGAGATATCTCCATTTGTAATTCTAGGATAGGTAGTGTCAACTAATGAGTCTATAGTGTTTTCTGGCATAAGCATGTTGGCTGGAAGCTCAATAGTTCTATCTCATGCAATTCCACAACCATCACCAACATCCAGGAGCCAGCTAGCAAAGGCTTCACTTTCTGGAGTATAATCCAGGCACATATTCGGTGTGAAATAGCAGGCATGGATAATTATCCACAGTTGTAACCTTCTAAGAGAGGCAGAAATAATATGTTGCCTTGACCCTCTTAAGACAACAGGTATTGTTTGGCAGAAGTCCCCTCCAAAGATCATTAAATGGAAGCTGATTATCCATAACACATCACGCAATGTACAATCCAATACTTCTGCATGTGGATGTTTTATTACAGGAATAGGGATCCCAAAGCATGAATGAGCTATGTACTCACCCTCCAAGAGCAGGGATGCAATCCAGAGGATGCTACACATAGAGCCATATTATAATAAAGAAATTTGTTCCCCAATTATGATAAAATGACTGTATGAGGGTATCAAAAGCATTCCGCTGCTCTACACTATCTTTCACCTCCAAAGTAAGATTAAATGTGTCATAAATTTGCTGTTCTTGGAGAAGATTGTTTACAATAATAGGCTCCTGTTGTTGCTTAGGAAAAGGCATTAGAGTAAAGTTTGGAAAACACTTATTAGATTGAGTAAATAAGAATTCCAGCAAGAATAACCAATAGTTGTATATTCTGGTCTTCTAAAGGTTGGGAAATTCCTCTTTGAGTAATAATAATACAGTCAAGTGATCAAAATTTTGCTAAATCAGAAGTCAATGAACTTGTGCTATCTGTAAAGTATTGTTAAGTCCTATATACATGTTTGACTTGCTGCTCAGTTGGTATTATAAGCATGAGAGTTTTCAATGTGGCTCCAATTTTCACTGCATTCACTAACTACTGCTGCTCCTGTGTTGCCACAAAAACCACGCGAGCAAAACTAAGCAAAATAACTGACACAACTTGGCTTGCACGCGGCATTTTGGACCACCGTCCCCTTTGTGATAGATTGACAAAGCTGGAATGTCTGTATTAATAAAAAATGGAATGTGCACTATCATGTGACCTGGAAAACATACATTAGCCAAAATTCCCGTCATAAACGGGCTATACTGAGCACCTGCAAAAGACTAAGCATTGATGGCAAAAACAGAATCCAAGATCATCTTGATGAAATACCTACACAAGTACATGGGGCACATAGCCCCATCTGCCATTAGGACCATGATATCAAAACAGATGCTTCAAGGAATCAAAGTAACCAAATCATCTGAAAATGGATTCTGCAAGATGATGAGACTACCAGGACCAAAAGAAACACTCACCTGCGCAAAGCATTATGTAGAGCGCATTCATACAGATGTATGAGGACCTGCACAAAAAAAGTTGATTGGAAACAAACAATACTACATCTCATTCACAGATAATTTCTCTTGCAGAACCATAGTTTACTTCATGGCAATGAAGGATGAAGCATTAGCATCATTCTGTGACTTTGTAAAATGTCTTTACACCCAAAATGATGGCGCTAAGATTAAATAAATATGATCAGATAGCGGTGGCGAATATACGAGTAAAGAGTACCTCTCAAAACTTGGTATCCATCACAAACAAACAGTTCATAACACTCCTGAGCAGAACGGAGCCGCTGAATGACTAAACCAAACACTAGTGTATGGTTAAAGAACAGACCATTAAAATAAGCCTTACCTGATAAGACACCGTACAGAATGTGAACTGACTTGAAACCCAATCTATTTGACTTAAATCAATTTGGATGCACTGTTTTTGTAAAAAGAGAACCCTCACCTAAATTAGAAGCCAAAGCCAGAGAGGCAAAATTCTGATGAAAACAATAAGGGCTACCAAATATATTGGTCAAAAAAGAACAGGGTATTAGTCAAACAAGAATTCTGTTTCAAACCAGAAAACAATGACTCACCTAGCGCTGCCATGCCCAAAGGGGAAAGCATTATTAATGCTCAAGTTAATGCTAAACAACAAGAAAAAACAATCAAAAACTAACCTAAACAAGAAACTCACCAAAAGAATGACTCACCAACCAATTTTCTAACATCCAATCCCCAAAAAATGCTGGAAATCCACCTGCTGAAAGCACAACTTGTGCACAACCTCCTCCGGGATACTATGCAGCTTTGAACCATTGCCAAAGGCAATGACCATATGGATCAAGGATGGACCAAGCGAAGAGATGCAAGATGGCAATAATGGCAATAGAGAGTTTGCTCTGATCATCCATCAGGCACTCGCGTCACATGACAACAACTCCTCCATGGTCACAAAGGCACTCACCAGACCAGACACAGCCAAACACTGTGGGGATCAACTTATATGAGCTCAGCTTATATGCTGAAGATATTGGATATCTGCATTCTGATTGGCTGAAAAAGGCTAAAATTGAATATTTTCAGCATATAAGCTGGGCTTATATAAGTCGATCCCCTCAGTGAAATGGCACCAGGCAATGGACAACAAGGTCAATTAAGAAACTATGTACCTAGGGAATCCCACCACCAAACACCAATGTGATCCAATCACATTTTGTCCTCAAGGCAAAACGGGATGAGAACAGTAAGATAGCAAGATACAAGTGAATGCCAGCAACCTTGGATGGCATATCCATCAGATTGACATAAAAAATGCATACCTCAATGCAACACCGCAAGAGGATGTTTATATATCACCACCACCTGGCTATCTCAAGCCCGAAGACAAAAACAAGGTCTGTAAGCTCAAGAAGAGCCTTTATGGACTCAAACAAGCAGGACATGAGTGGTACCAGACATTATTGAGAACCCTCCCAGAAATTAGATTCACAAAGTCAGCTGTTGACACTGTAAAAATCACTCCACCGTACTTTCAGTGTCGACTGATGACATAGTTATAACATCTGAATCCATCCAGACCATCAAAGAGTTTAAAGATGAACTCTTGCACCATTATAAAGTATTTAATCTGGGTGAGATTTAATGGTTACTAGGATTCAAGATAGACTACAATCATAAATCCCATATCCATATTATAAACAGCATATATTAATGCCATAGTTGAACACTTTGGACTTACTGACGCAGAACCAGTAGCCACTCCACTAGAACCTGGGATAATGCTTGGAAACAACCAATCACCAGCTACACCTAAATAATATAATGAGATGCACAACATTCCATATTAAGAAGCTGTAGGTTGCCTCACATGGATAGCACTGGGATTGTGCCCAGATATAGCTTCTGCTACAAAAATCCTGGCTCAGTTCAATCAAAATCCAGGTAAACTTCACTGGGAACCAGTGAAACGAGTCATCTTGTACATGAAGGGAACTCATGAATTGACTCTGAAGTCAATCAAGGGTGAAAAACCTATTCTATCATATAACATTGCAGGGACACTGTCACTCCATTTCTGGACATGTATCATTCAAGTCTACCAAATGTCTTGAGTGCAAAGAAACAATCCATAGTTGCTCTCTTGAGCACTGAAGCTGATTACATAGCAGCCACTCATGCTATTAGAGACATTTTCTGGCTGCAAAGTCTCATTGGCAAAATTTGATCACCCACAGATGAAACCACAGTACTATACTGTGACAACCAAAGTGCCATAGCACTATCAAAGAACAATAAATTCCTGACAAAGCCGGATAAACCCCGTCTCTGCTAAAGCAGCCATTGTTCTCCATGGAGTCACCATTGTTCTCCTAGGAGCACAATTGTACTCCTAGGAGTCATTATACCTTAGCAATTAGCACCTCCAACTATAAGTATTAGGGGTTTTAGTATAGGAATACCTCAGTCATTTCTATAGCCTTTTAGGCAGCAGCTGAGTTTTACTTAGTTTTATTAATTCTCCACCCTCAAACAGAACATATTGATATTTGTTACTATTTCATTCAAGAGGCTGTAGAGAATGATCAAGTCACTCTATTATTCTGTCCCACAGACGAGATGATAGCTGATCTATTCACTAAAGCACTACCTCGAGTCAAACACGAGAAATTTGTCAACATGATAGAACTATGCTATGATTGAAGGGAAGTGTTAGAGTTACAACAATCAATTACATAGACTCAGTAATATTTCCAGCCACTTGCTTAGTAATATGCACAGAAACATAGTGTAAAAATGTTGGACCACACATTATACTTCCCATAGAATTACAATACTGATGCTGTAATAGTTGTAGGCATATTTTAACTATTCTACCATACTACTCTTATGAGTATGTTTTTATTTGAGCCTACACTAATATTTCAAGTAGTAGATAAATCATTTCTAGTCCGACTTTTCTATTCTATAGTTGTGGGAAAATATTTCCCTATTGGGATCCAAAAACTCGGACATTTCCTCTCTCACTTTAATGCTCACTATAGTTGCACCTCAGTTTTATTCACACAAAACTGAGGTTAGTAGACACAGTTTTCACTTTCAGGATTTCTTACTTATTATGCTGTAGTTATTGTTTCCTAGATTCCAATAATAGTTACTTTAATATTCACAGGTATATATCAATATAGAGCTTTACTGAGGCAGTCAGAGTTTACTTTGACATTCACAGTCACTGCCAGCTCACAGCTTGTACTCACATTACTCAGAGGATGCCATATCACCATTGAGGCTACTTGTTCGCTACACATCAAAAAATCATGTTGTCAGGCAGACTCCAAACCAGTCCACATATGTGTGTATGCTATAGCCCAGTGCTTGTGATTAGATAATTTGATTATATAATTATCCAAGACTTTACCAAAACTTGAGTTGAGCATAACACATATGGCTGACTGGCAAAATTTGTAGTGGCGCCAGATTTTGGTTTATTTACACCACCAAAGATTGCCACCAAATCCAACATCTTTCAGTCGGCTAAAGTCAAAAACAGAAATGTGACCGTGACTTTTTCTTTTCTTGGACAGAGCTTATTTTGTATGCAGTCCGGACGCTTTGAGACACCAAGTTCCGATGAAATCAGCAGTCTGTGGGCACTGGAGCACAATGAAAACAACACTCAGAAGAAGAGGAAGAGGTGGGAGTGGTTACCCATTAGGTTTCAACAAGTCAGTTGTTGGCAGACAACAGGAGGACTCGCTGAGTCCTTCCCCATGTATTGCTCCAGTATATATACTAAAATACATGAGGTACTGTACAGTTGTAAATAAAGCTTAAAGTCCGATGTCTAGCATGTGACCGGTCACATGCTAAGTCTAGACACTGGTCAGGTGTTGTGTCACATGACCAAGTCATGTGACTATGAAAAGTCGAAAATGTAAAGTAAAGTAAATGGTCACATGACTGGTCATGTGACTTGGAAAAATAAAAGTAAAAGTACGGAAAAGATGAAGTGTAAGTAGGTACTGGTACGTCAATTATAACACAGTCTTGTGAAAGAAAGATTTGGCATCACTCCATGTCATTTTCAAGTCCTATCATCCCAGATGCAGTTGAAGAAGAAACATGTCTTCACAATTGCACCCACAGGTTCTGCAAAAACCCTCACATTCCGGATACCACTTCTCTTTAATAATGAAGGAATCATTATCTTGATCACTCCACTTAATATCCTTGGAGGAAAAAATGTTGACAAGCTTCAAAGTCTGGGATTTCTGGCCATCAATTTGAATAATGAGACTGCTACTGATGAAAACTTTGAGGTCCGTAATATTTCAGTTAATAGAACAATTCATGACTTTCTTTTAGGACATCAAACAACTGAAGTACTGAGTCATATTGACAAGTCCTGAGCATGTCCGCCATGATTCATGTTTCAAAAACCTATGAAAATGTACAAGATTTACCGAGCGACTGTTCAATGTTACAATTGATGAGGGGCACTGTATCAGTGAATGGGGAGATGGGTTTTGACCAGAGTATAATGAGCTTGGTGTACTCCAATGGTTGCTTCCTCCTCATGTCACTTTTCATATTACATCAGTGACCATGCCTCCCCATATTCTTCAAGATATCCAAATGAAGCTGCAGATTGAAAAAAGTAACATGGTTAAAGAAGTACGCTCACCTGTTGATTGGCCTTGTTGTTCATCCGCTCAAGGCCCTGCTTCAGGACTCGATGAGCAACAACATTGTTGTTGGAGGTTTAGCGTAAAGGTGTCACACTTATGTTGTGACACCTGTAACCCAGAGTTGTTCATATTCTCACTGCACAGGATATTTCCCAAGCCTCAACGCGATAAGAGAAAAGTCAACACCAAAAGCTACACAATGACCAAGGCTGGTGGAGAGTTGCGGCGTCATTTGAAGGAATGGCGTGAGTCTCAGCTTATGGCCGAGGGTCTCAGTGGGGACACTTTTTTTGGTGTCCAAATTATCATGTCAGAGCCGGTTCTCTGTTGCATCGTTGAACTTGCCGAACTTGCAAAAATCAAGGATGTTACAATGCTTCGTGAGCAAACCAATTGGTGCTATGCAGATTTATATGGAGACAAGATCATTGGTCTTGTCAATACACACTTCCCACCACCTGTACCAGCTCTATCAATGGCCAATATCAGTGTAAGGACCATTTTATTATTTCCCTATCTTCGCTATGTCTTGGTTCTTGAACGCCTTTCCCGTCACACCTCTGGCTCTAGGGCTAGAGGTATCATTTGCCATTCTACTTCTCATAGCCCTCACAGGCTTTCTTAACCATCGCTACCATTTTATATCACAGATCAGAGACTGGGTATCGCTCCCAGCCAGCCAGCACACTGGGTAGGGACTGGTAGTAGGCATCTCGCCAACCAGCTCCAAGCCCCAGTAAAGCCTGGATACACTAATAAACGCCTTATTCAGGATCGTACCTCATCATGAGGATACGGTTCCTGAACACGCGTAACAAACCTCTATTATTAGTACAAATCTCTCACCGCTGATTAATCAAGTTAAAAGTCGTACAATAGTTGTTCTCCCTTTTTCTTATTGGCCGATTGATTCCTCAGACCACTTTTCATATATTCTCCTTTCGGTCTGAGGAACGAACAGTTCACTATATAAAGCCTTACCTATTCATGTATAGCTCCTTAGTTTTCTATTACTGAATTTACCCGCTTTACTCCTCAACAAGAACCTTTCAAGCTTACCTCTCAAGCTCATCAAACCCCTTACTCCCTGCAAGTGCAGAAGGAGACAGGTTTCGTTTTTGTTATAGTTTACCGTTGCCTCACAATCAGCAATACCTTGCAGGCTGCGTTGTCCGACTCCAATGGATCCGCTAAGAAAAAATGTGCTTACACATGCCGCTCATGCGGGGCGGTTGGACATATTGGTGAGTTTGTTTTTGTTTGTTTCGGACTTTGTCGCTAATATTTCTTACAGCTTCAAATCGTTCTTGTCCGAAGTACACAGCTAAACCACGTTCAAAATGAAACACAGAAAATACTGTGCCAAGTAGTTAAATAGGAACTTTTATGTAGTAAGTCAGTCATCATACAAGTCCTCAGCCTCAAACTCAAAGTGATCCTCAGTCTCGTCATCATCTGTTAATATTGTCATGTGCATCAATGCAAGTCCGTCCGCTACCTTGTCTGTGATAGAGGCTATAGCCTCTCGGCCTTGTTTGAATGGGTAAGGACTTTTCTCTCTGATCCATGCAGCTAGTTTCTGAATTGTCTTGGTCATATCAGGTGGTGTATGCTGACTTGTGCGGTGTTGAAGGTGGAAGGCATTTTCAACGGTCACATGACAGTTGCGGTAAACTTTGATCAGAGGTGACTGTTTTATAACATGCTTGATTGTGCAATTTGGACCTGTACCTGAATATACATCAGGAAAACGTGACTTAGATATAAATACAATAAATTGCAAAATATCTGTTATATCTATAAGTGTGATCCTTGCAAAGTCCCCTACTCTAAATGCATGATTATCAATAAATATCAGTTTAGAGTATTTCTATATCATAAAAAGTGGTTTATAGCACAGTCATTAAAACAAAAATGACCTTGCACTTTTTCACTATAATTCACTCTAAATGCAATTATATCAATCCATACTCAATCATATTCAAAAAAAAGCACTAATAAAGCAAATTATTTTGATTTTTAAAAACGCTGCAGCAGTAATATTTATCAAAATGATTTTGACGCTTTTGCTGCTTCCTCTAAAGCATCAAAATCAAATATAAGCTCAGAAACATCAGATTGCCCCCTCCCCCCACTGTCATACAACCATTTCTACAAAAATACTTGAGGTTAAGAAAACATTTCAATATAAATATGTAGTAAGCTCTTACCAAACATAATCATCAACCCCACCAACCACAGCCACCAGGTATGTAGGAGAACATTTCTGAAAGTTGTCCAGCAACCTCATATGATGATCCCACCTTGTAAAAGTATAATAAGTACAGATTTATAGTGATTGAGGTGACATACTTAGCAGAAAATGCTGTCTCTGAGAATTCTATTGTGGCGTTGTTAATAGCACCTAGCAAAGCACATTCAATCTGGTAAACAATATTGGTTGTTATTTTATTTAAAAATATATATAAACACTTACAGAGCATGCTACTAGAGCCAAAGGTCTTTCAGAAGTAGCCTAGAAATTGTGAATAGTAATATCAAATAATGCCAACATAAAATTAATAATGTCACTGTTTTAGTTTGAAGGTGGTGATGATGGAGAAGGAGTACTTTTTGCAGCTCTGCCCCTGGCCATCAGATAACTGCATTGTTTAGAATGTATAATCCTAGGTATTGGAGTCCTGAAAACCAAGCCAATGATACAAGTTCAGTATACGTGGCAAAGATGAAAGATACAAATGATACAAACAAATACAAATCTAAAATAATAGTTTCAGCAGGTGAAAAATTCTTGTGCACCAATATAGGGAGAATATGATAGTGAAAATATACCAAATCAAATGCACAGAGGCCCTTCTTTACAAGTACTGAGAAAGACCGGCCTATTTGCAGCCCGAATGGTTGAACCCATTTGAGTTTTTATTTTGGTTTGGTATAGTATTGAAATGACAATGTGAAAAGGTAAATAAAATTCCCACATTTTGACACTGTGTGCCACAGTGGTGAGTCATAATAGAGGGTAAGAGTGCGCTGCAGCACAGTAGCGCTTTCCCACAGTTGACAACACATTTTGCTCAACACTATAGGCATTATAGAGAGATCTGACCGCTTTTTGAGACATTTAAACTCCGATTGTAACACTTTCCCGCACGTCAAGCCACCCACTTTTTTTGGATTGTGTAGCATGATACTAATGCACACAACAGTTTTCTGTGGATCAGGTTAGTTGGCTAGTGAGTACGCAAGCAAGTATACTGACAATCATTCCCAATGCAGTGTTCCTTGTGGCCACTCTTCTCCACCTCTTCTTCAATGTCTTCTGGTCACCTCCTTCATCCTCATCACCGCCAAGTTCTCCTATGAAGTTGTCTCCATCTGCAAGAGTTGGTGGTGTCCTATTCATTGGGGTGGCAGGTTCTCGAGCCTTTCTCCAGTTTTGTGGGCTCTCCATGATAGAGCTGATAATAGCCCAAAGGTTTGTTGCAACACTACTCATTTTAGTAGCCAGCTGTTGCATAAATGCTCCCTTTAGCTGCTCTGCTGTGGCCGATGTAATCTTGAACTGCAAACCATGGCATTCACTGCCAAGTTCCTCAACCTCCCTACACAACACACCTGTCACCAGTGTGAATGACCAGGAGAGCACTGGCTGTCAAGAATTTGTGTGGTTATACAGGTAAGCACATATTCTTGCTCCATCCCTCTCTAGAGATTCACGGGCTGACTTGGTACTGGTTTCAGTACTCTCCAGAATTCCCTGGATCAGCTCGGATACTGAAAATCTGATTTCTTCTATGCACTGTAGGACAGCACTCAGACGACGAAAGTTACTCATAGTAGATGGATATAATGTAAAAATATATTTCAACTCAGTAGCTTTATAGCTTATGAAATAGTGCAAAGTTGATACATCATTGGAACATTGTGTTCAAGTGTACTACTCCTACTCTTCTGTCCAAGAAAAGAAAAAGTCATGGTCACATTTCTGTTTTTGACTTGAGCCGACTAAAAGATGTTGAATTTGGTGGCAATGTTCGGTGGTGCAAATAAACCAAAATCTGGCGTCACTACAAGTTTTGCCAGTCGGCCATATGTGTTATGCTCAACTCAAGTTTCGGTAAAGTCTTGGATAATTATATAATCAAATTATCTAATCACAAGCACTGGGATATAGCATACACACATATGTCGACTGGTTTGGAGTCTGAAATAACAGTAACTTTCAGATTTACACAAAATGTTGAAAATGTTTTTAACTACTTTCAGGATTTAGACAGGATATTGTGGCTGACATTAGCCGGTCAGGCATCCAGTGTGATAAGCTCGTCAGGTTGAAAAAGGTAGGTCAAGGGCGAAAGGCCTGATGAGGTAAAGAGGATTTTTCCGACAGAGGTTCTACCCTCGTTCCTTCACTTACTTTGCTGATTGTCCAGAAAGGTAAGTACTAATTCATTTCGGTTCCCCTTTTTTCGATTCTCATGGAACATTTTACACTATTTCACCTTCGAGCGGGTTACGTATCTGTCCTAGAAGGCCTTCCCATCAGCAGCGCCATAAGGTCCTGACTGGACTGATTACTTGAACCCTGGTATGATAAGTGAGTGGGGATTATATGTGGAGGAAGTCGTTGGTGCTGCCTCATCCCGTACATAGGTACCTGTGCCTGATTTACTTGCTGACTAAAAACCACCTGAGCACTCTGGGGGGATCCGTGTACTAAATCGGAGGCAGCGTTGGTGCCATTCAATAGAGATGCTTGTACATGTTGCACTCCAGACTGAGATATACGCGTTGACGGATTGACCCCACCGCTGGTGAAATAGAGCTCGGGTTGCGGGAAAATGTCGTTCGTGTATTGGGTGTTACGTGGATATCCGGGTGCCACCCCTGAGTGCATGCCTGGAAAACCTGTTGACTCTGTAACAAGATGGGGCGAACGGCCACCAGGAACTGCCAAGGGAACAAAGTATTTCGTGGATCCATGATTGGGACTGTGCGTATAGTTGTTTCTTAATGGGCCTGGTTGGAACCCAGAACGTGAACATCGACCAGACTGTCCACCCAGTGGAGGGGCTGGACTTGAGTATATGTGATCATATGAGCTCAGTGGTAGGAATTGGCGGGGGCTATTTGCGACATGCTCATCTCGTCGCGACTCAACTACCACCATCCGTCCATTCTGATTTCGAGAAGGCACAAACGTCCTATCATCTATATAAATGCATGAATATATCGTCAATGCGACAGCGTAAATGCTACTCGCTGTCTGTTGCATGTTGATCATTAAGAAAGCGTTGAAGGTTGTTTGTAGCATCACTTGCGTATTCAGTAATTGCTGAATGAGCCTTCAAAACAATGGGTAAACTAATGTATTCCTCATGGAGGAAACCTGTTACCTGTGTCGATCTAGTCAACGTCGCTAACATTCCTTCAGCGTTCTCATCAGCAGACGCGTGCGCATTTCCTGCTGCGACGTACTCCAGAGGTGCCCAACCGTCTTGTTCACGAGCAACCGGCGACAGCCTGTCCTTCAGTCGCCCTTTGCTATCGAAAAATTTAGCAAATCGACTTCCCTTCGCCACAGCGAGTCCAGGGCTACTAGAAAAATCTGAATTTGAATTGCGTGAGGGACATATAAAAGGATAGTCATCATATTCGAAAGCACCTCGCTGTCCAAAGGATGCTATATCCGAAGATAATCCAATTTTCATATCCCCAACCGACTCCTCAGCGCGTAAGTCCCATTCACACGAACCTATACCATCGAACACAGGTACCTGCAGCGGACGGCTAAGATTATCATACGGCAAGGCCGTCGCCGAATCTTGACTAGGCCTGCTCAAAGAATGCTGGATATGAATTTCTTGTGCTGGGTCCTGTGGATCGAGCTGGTGCGAAAGGCGGAAGTCAAAGACCGCTGATTCTGATCGAAGGTGATCGTGAGGATAACAAGCATCTGCGTCGCGGTCACGGACATCCTCAGGGCGTTGATTATATGAAATGCGAGAATGAAGATTTTCAGACGAAAGAGGATTAGGAAAAAACCGCGAAATTGTGGACTCGTCTCTAGCAAGATTTTCAGGTACCTTGGCATTGGAGCTAGCTCCAGAGGATATAACAGATGAAGCAGAAGGAGATACGATTGATGATAAAGCACGAGACCCATCTTTCCACGAATCTAAGAAAAAATCGGTCGTCCGGGGAGGGACACCAGACGTCAGAGATATGTGCGACGAATCTGAATGCGAAGCCTGAGCACCGGAAGACAAAGAACCTTAAAATCCAACTCCATCAGTAGTTCGGGAAACTGAAGTACAACCTTACCACGTGCACTTCGCTCGTTTTCCGAAGTCCTAACTGCGCCGACTGGAGTAGCAGCCTTCAAATTTTCAGAATTTGTTTTCTCTTCCTCCTGTTTCATCATAAGTCGAAAGAGCTGAATTTCGTCTAGGGGCTTCTCAGTAACAGGCGGTTGATTGCTTTGTATTTCATCAGAAATGTCTGCAGGACCGCTGGCTCCGATAACCGAAGTGACGGAGGAATCCATCCACGCTGGTTGTTTTTCTACGTTTCTTTCACGACCGTAGTTGCCTCGTCCAAAAGTTTCATCATCAATCAACCCGTCACCTATTTTGTCCCGGCCACTGTTATGTTTCCCAGGACGATCATGGCACTTGTCGAGAGAATGGTCATAGTTAACTTTTCTAACATGCCCATTCCCACTGCGTTGTTCAGAATCCCGCTCACGTCCGCATAGTTGACGTTCCCGTCGAATGACATTCCTTTCATCTCTTTTGCCGTCATCTTTCCAGCGACGATTTTCAGTCACACCCGAGGCTCCCCCACAATCTATGTCCCGCCTAAATGCGTCGTGACCATCATGATCGCCATCCGGGACAGAACGGATATTGCGACGACGTTCTGGACGTCTCTCAAGAAATGAATCGACTATATCTGTATCTCGACTTAAAGACGGAGGACCTTGCTTCAATAGATCTAGTCCAGGTATATCATGTTTGTCATGACGATGGTCCCTAGAACAGCGAGTACTTGACTCTATACCTGCAAGATTATTTTAGTAACATTTAGTTCCACATGTATGAAACTCACATCTTCTCCATTCTTCATTAGAATCCACAACCACCTTCATTGAGGAACTTTTCGCATCCGATTTACGTGAATGTGCTGTATGTTGATTTTCGTCCTTAGACATGCTTTTGATCGCGTAACCATGAGTAATATCTCCATCATTGTTACGCGCTTGACCTGGAGCTGAACGGTTGGGAAATACCACTAGTCGTTCTCGAACCGACTGATCGGCTACCTGCGTTACGACTATGACACTTTGGTCAACTAGCTTCCAAACTTGTACGTACCAGAGAGACCCTTTCTTCGACTTTATCTTTTTCTTTTGGGGTCTTCTCTTTTTCCACGTCCTTTGATCGGAAAGACTCATTTCCGCGAATGGATTGATGTTTGAAGTGACCCATCTGTGCATGCTGGTTGTGATTCCCTCGGATGGAAGGTCGTATGAGTGCTTCTACACATATGGTAAGATTATAATAAAATTAAATAACAGTTAAGATGCTAAGACGTACCTCTCTCCTCAGCATCTCTACGGAAGGTACTACAGGATGGTCAGGCTGGATTCGGATGGCGAGGGTAAACGTGAGCGTGAGAACTCACCGTCTTTCACGTGTATGATTCTGACCTGGGCCAGACAGCTCTGCCTCCTTGGACGCACAAAGTTCGTTTTCCGAACTAAAAGTGTATCGTTGATGCCACACAGATAACTGAGCTAGATTTGCCACACATACCCAAACCAATCCTTCAGCGCTGGTATGCCAATCGGAGGCTTCACGAGAGGTGATGCATAGAGCAACAGAATTTGACGAGGAGAGTACACTATTACTGATGATGAAGGCGGTGGAATTTGGTGGGAGTCGGAATCAGGGGCCTTTCCTTGAAGAGAGGATACTGTACTAGAATGGCCTGTATCCTGAACGGGAGCCCTTAAGCTCTCCTGGTAAGGCAAAGTGGTCGACATATCTGCCAATTGCAAGGGATGTGCTATCAGTAAATTGACCGTGTGACCTACGTATACAAGTCTTCCACTGCGATTGTGGCTGGGGTTATATGAAACAACGGAGTTTGAACTCTGTATATATGACGCCCTGTTTGCACCTTTTTAAAACTGCGACAGCGAGAAGTTTTTTGGTGCGAAATATAGCGGACTGCGCGGAAAACAGACAAAAAGGTCGGTGTGACGAAAACGGCAGCAGTTCCAGTGTCCTCCAAAGACACCGCCGAGTGCCGAAGTTATCACTGAAGAGCTGCAGTACAGGTAAAGTTTTCTAACTATGTTGGAGATTTGTATTCTTGGTTGCAGCCAGGTGTGGCTGCAGTGGTATCTAAAATGAAGGGGACAGTGGTCCTCAGAGGGCGTCTTAAGTGAACTTCAGAGCAGCCAGCATATCAAAAATCAGGTGGAGCTGCAACCTTTGGCACCATCAACAAGCAAGCACACAATGAGGCAGGCAGACTGTAATGTTGTTGCTGTCGACCTGATCACTACTGATCTTTCAAACTGATGGCTCCCAGAGCGAAGAAAACCCCTAGTGCAAGGCAAAGAAAGTCAGTCACACCAACTGATGATGCAGGAGATGCCGCTGTGAAGCAGATCAAGATTCAATGGGAGAAAGAGCCGGTGAGGACACAGCAGCTGGTGGATTATCTCAATGGTCACGAAGAGTATAGAATAGCTTTATTTTCAGACTCTACAAAGGAGGCCAAGTCCCAATATTGTTGCAAGATTATTAACAAGTCCTCTGCAAGTAAATCTGATGTTTACAACATCATGAAGTATAGCAAGGCTATCAACAATCACATTGGAAAGTACGTCCTCCCCCCCTGATTTTATTTTGATGTTTCTGAAATCCTTTCTAGCTTAAAAAACAAGTATCAGGCTTTCAATTGTGAACTTGGGGTAATAGGCTCTGATCTCTGTTATGATGATGTTGAGACCAGCAGCCACCTCTGGAATCTCATCAGTAAGTTCCCTCCCTGCCCCCCCCTTTTTTTTAATTGAATTTAATTGAATTTTTAGACCACTAATTATTTTATTCAATCTATTGTTAGAAAAATTGAAGTAAGACCTTCCATGGTGGGAGGATCTCCACTCATAGTGGAGGGAAATCCCTCATATCAATGTAATGGTGAAATCTTCCAACCCTGGCACTCAACATGGGGAAGATACCGCTCGTTTTTTTTCCACGTCTGGTAAATATGGTGAGGAAGTCGTTCCCCCCACACCATTGGCTGAGCACCTGGGTGTGCCCTCCCAGCCTGTGGCTCTGAACTCCACAGCCATGGTGTCTATGCAAACTTTACAGGCGGTACTTCTTTCCCATCCTAATACAACATCTTGAAGCTTGTCCCCTCCCCAATACCGCCTCCACCTTCTTCTGGCTCACTGCCCCTGCCGTCTTTTGCCCACCCACCCCTGCCTACAGCATGTGGCTCCTCATCAGAGACTTCAAGTCTCATGGATCCTGACTTTGTTGGCACAGGCAAAGAGGATGATACACTGGAGCCCCTGACCCCTGAGGCCTACAGGAGTGGGGGGTGGGGGTGCCGGTTTAAGACATGAGTAAATTTTATTTTATCTTGTGGTGCCAAAGTGTTACAATTGATGTACCAGTACCTACTCACACTTTACTTTTCGTACTTTACTTTTACTTTTTCCAAGTCACATGACCAGTCATGTGACCATTTACTTTACTTTTCATTTTCGGACCTTTCCTTTGATTTTCATTCTCCGCTTTAACCTTGTACTGTAGTTTTCACACTGTGCCATGTGGCACTTCCCCTTTTAGTTCAAACTCCACCTTTCTCGCGCGGCGCTGCCTTTATTCTTATTTTAGATACAAGTATCTCACACAGTGGAGCTGGTCACACGGGCTAGACCCCATGACATCAGCAGCCACTGCTTCTAGCAACTGTACAGTACATACGTACAAACAAACATGTATTCAGTATATATACCCCAATAGATCATGGGGAAGGACTCAGCGAGTCCTCCTGTTGTATACCAACTAACTCACTGCATTCTAAAAGGGTAGCCACTCCCTCATTATCTTTCTTTATAGTGTGTTCCTGTGTGCGCCAGAGTTTATCTTGGTTGTTACACAAAGGTTGTTAGTATAAGCATGAAAGAGTTCATTGATGTCGTCATTGGAGGAGATGGTGGGGGTGGAAGAGTTGTGGGAATAAGGGGGTGAAGACATAGAATCAGAATGTGCCTCCCCCTCAGCAGATACTTCTACTTCAGAGATGATTTCAGCAATTTTGTGCTATATATAGATATCCATAGCAATTTCCTGTGCATCATTCAATGCAGCGAGAAGTTTGGCACACTCTGAGATGTGAGGCATGCTTGAAACGAAGCTTTAAAGTTCATTCTCATGGTCTTGGCCTTTTATTTGAGCTGGGGGGCTTCCTTTGGTGGTTTTTTGAACTTAGAGCTTGCTATCTTTACTCAAACCTACTCAACTGCCCAAATTGGCAGCTTACTAATCACGAGTTGCACTCATCGCAGCTTTGCTGCAACTGTCAGGTGCCTGCAGCACCTTCCACACCTGTGGTGCCACAAAAAACCACATGAGCAAAACTAAGCAAAAAAATGTGCTCCTATGTGCTCCACACGTAACTTTTAGGCTACTGTCCCCTTTGTTATAGATAATTTCCGCACAACAACATTGTGGCTCAACAATCACCTGAAAAGGCAGCTTTTTTCCATGTATCAAGGCTGTGGCTGAGATTTTTTAAGTTTATTTGTGACTATTTGCTATCTACTAACTTTCAACTTTACAGGGGCGCTGGCACATGCTGACACTTTTTTTCACTTATAGTTCACTTAAGGCACTTATTTCACTTAGGTTTGCTCATGTGGTTTTTGTGGCATCACAGGTATGGAAGGTGGGGCAGGCACCTGACACTTGCAGCAAAGCTGTGATGAGTGGAACTCATTGCAGACTAGTCATGACAGGAATGCAACCGGTATAGATTAGCTAGAGATTACATAACAATGTTGCAAGTGTTATTGCAAGGCATCACTAGTACCATCAATGCTCTCCATGCCTTGCAAGAACTTTTCCCCAGCTCTCTGTGCATACTGTACCACCCATCTTCATTGTATATTCCATTTTTTGAGGCGGAATCACATCCCTAACACAATTTACTATGCCTAAAGACACCAACACAAAGACCTGCCCAACCTGCAATAATCTGTTCAAGCCTCATAGACTGGTGACTGATATAAAAACCTGTCAGCTCCAGGTGGCTGCTATGAAGGAAGACCATGAATTAAGCAAATGGCTCTGTTTGAGAAAAGAAAAAGTAAGTTACTATATTGGAGAATAATAGCTTACTAATTAATGTCATTAATGTAGGATGGATTAATCAAGAAAAAGAACTTGCACTGGCTGCTCATAATCAAGGTTGACATGATTTGTGTATTTCAGATTCCTTGAGTACTAATTATATGGCTGTATTGAAGCTGAGCCTTCATCATGGCTGGTCCAAGAAGATGAAGAGACTACTGCTAGTAATAATGTGCCTTTAAATGTTTTTGGTATGTAAGTATGATTATTAATTTTATCATTGTTCTGATTATTATTATGTTTCAGTATCCTCCTCACAAGTTGGTACAAAGTCAGATGCAATAGAATAGCTGGAAATGGATAACATAAAAGTATAATACCATCCAAGTAGTGGTCGAGCTGCAATCATCAACCAATTTCCTGAGTTTACATGCATCATCTAGAAAGGACCACATTATTAGCTCAAAGCCTTGGTCTCCTTTTTGGCCATGTACTGACTTTGAATTTGCAGAGATTGCCCTTGAGGCTGTGCAGAACAAGGATCAGATAACAAGACTTATAACTCTGATTCAGTGTTGTGGGAAGAACCTAGATTCATTCACATTGAAAAGTCACACCGAGCTATGTGAAGCATGGAAATCTGCTGCCTAAGATCTCATACCAGTTTGCACCTGTATGTAGTTTTGGCGTTGCCCTGCTAATTTTAATTTAGTTTAGTTTTTCAAAGTAATAATTTCAGTTCCTTTCCAAAATGAAGAGCATCAATTTGATGCCCATTTCTGGCCACTGTGAGACTGGGCATTGGATCTAACAAATGATCCAGAGCTGGCACCACATTTTGCCATCAATGCTGAAAGGCTGTAAAAATAGAATGATTAGTCTTTTGCACAATTTTTTGATGAGCCATGGAAGGCAAAGGATTTTTGGGATGTTCATTGGGATGTTCAAGTATGTTACAAATTTACATGTGGTAGGTAGTATTAAAATGCATATATTTATTATTCTAGTTGAAGCTCCCAAAAGGTGCCAAGCCATTTTGTTTCATTTTCAAAGTTGTCTTTGTTTGGTTCTCAAAAGGTTATCTGGTTGTTGCACATTGTGCAGTTGATATTCGCAATAGCAGAGGTGTGGGAGGTGGTTGGGTTGTTGGGTGACTTCATATGGTAGATAATGGCTGATATTCAATATTGGCCATATGCTTACTGATGATATTGGTATGTGCCAGAAGATGAGGCTCATAAAGGCAAAACAATATTTGCCAACTTCAAGAACATTGTCTGGCATGAGGCATGTTTGAAGATTCTGATTCTTAAGCCTATTGAACAAAGACAGGATACTGGCATGAGGACATTATTGATCATATTCAGCGACATCTTTTCCTTATGATGTTGATTTTGTTAGCTGATTACAAGGAACAGTCAGTTATATGGCAATTATTTAATATGTATTTAATTTATATTTATACAATTACAGATGAGCAATGGCCTCAACACAAGGGGGAAAGTCCAAATTTCCATGCCCATTTTGTCTCGTCCCACAAAACTATCTGACCACAATCAAAAGTATGATATTTGGATTAGTGTTCAATCTGAGGCTTTAGTAGAAAATGCAAATTTGCAGCCAACCACAGCAGAAAAAGAAGAGGTTTTGAAAAGCCAGGGGCTTTAGCCTGACTGGTTAGACTGATATAAATGGCCTCATTCACAACAAAACTGGTCATGTTTTGCTGGGCTTAATACACCCTTCAGTGACATTTCAGGCCTTGGAATAGCTGCAGAAAGATGATGTTGCATTTAATAGGTTTTGCATAGGGTTTGCTAATTTTTGAATAATTTACTACCACCTATCAATGTTCCACTGCCTGGGGGCAGACATATCAAACTTAGCACAGCAGACAAGGTTTGCAACTGCTACTACTCAGGCTTTAAATTTGGTTCACACTTCTCCAAACAACAAATGGGGCAATTTTTGCTCACCTAGTCTTTGTCTTCACATGCAGCATTGACAATACCACCTATTCATTAGCACTGGTTTAGCCTTATGACACACCAATAGGCTAGTATTATTGCAAAGAAACAGATTTACAGCTTTGGAGGCTTTGTTCAAAGCTGCACTCTGCAACCAAAATTATTCCTGTTCAGTCTATCATCTGTGGCACAAGACTACAATATTCTTGGAGATGTCTTTGTTGATTCCTGGAAGGCTACCATTTGTTGCCTTGCAGCTGGTTTGGAGGGCCTGGGCTAGTTCTGAATATCAGCACCGTGTTTAACATCACTTAGGATTTCATCAAGCCCCTCAATCTCCTCTTGTTCCTTATTGGTGGATTTGCTTCTTGGTGCAACCATTCTTGCTCTGGGAAGGACTCTCTTCATTGCTGCCTTCTTTTTACCCTTTTTTTATTGGCTACCGGGTGCAGACTAGATTTTAACCTGAAGGTAATCTTGGCATTTATATCATTCTTCCAGTTGTACCAATGGTCTAACAGACCCTGGGTCTCCTCCTTTGTTATACATGATGGTTCCCAGGACTTGTACCCCCAAGATATGTACCCCTTTGACAAGTCAATATAGTTGCCCGGGCACTCCGCAATGCTGGACCAAGGTACTGAAGCCTTTTGTGTTTCCAGTGGAAATCTGGTAATGTGTTGTCAGGAAAGACCTGATGATAGCCTGTAGGTCTGAAAAGGTTGCCAGGGAAGACAGATTCTCATCTACAAGGATGGGACATCTATTGTTGTCAAGTGGAAGCTTGATCTTTTCTTTCTGCTTGCTTGGTAGGCTCTCCTTTGGCACAGACCCACCTATACCAGCTATATACAGTTCAGTACTCTAGGGTGTTTATTAATTAAGATGGAAACTTACTAAACTGACTTTGTGCATACTTTCCCCAAGCCTCCCATATCTTTACATTACAAGGACATGCAAATGGTTGCATTTGTATCTCTATGGGCAGTGAGCACAAAACTCAACATTCCCAGATCCCGGCTTGCTTGCATCTGAAAGTCCTTCACTACTTTCCTACACTTCATTTCAGTAGCTCTGGGTATCTGGAGGCACTATTTATCCCAGGTGAGTAAAGTGTAAGGACTATTTATTAGTTTCTCTATGTCTTGGTTTTCAAACACTTTTCCCATTACACCTCTGGCTCTAGGGCTGGAGGTATCATTTGCTATTTTACTTCTTATAGCCCTCACAGGCTTTCTCAACCATTGTTACCACTTTATATCACAGATCAGAGACTGGCAACCCCAGCCAGCCAGCACAAT